TTAGTCTCTAATTACCATTCAATGTACTCAAAATCATGCATTTAAACTTGAAAATTTTAAAGATCACATTAGTCTTCTAATGTATTTGGATGAAACATAATTATATAGATCAAAGACTGTTGTACAAGAACATGAAGTCAGTGTTTAGGTTTCAGGGTTCAGGGTTTAATTATTGTGAAGGAGAAACACCTCATAAACTAAAATAAGGTTTATAATTTTTTTTTACTTTTAAGAAAAGAATATCAATTGGGTGGATAGTAGGGTAATAATTAACGAAAATAAATAGGGTTTGGGTGGATAGTAGGGTAATAATTAACGGAAGTAAGTAGGGTTTGGGTGGATAGTAGGGGGAGATATGGATGTGGTATTGGAAGTTACAACACGCAGTTATCTAGCTTTACGTGGGAATTTAAAGCGCAGTTTTCCTACTTTTACGTCTCATAAACCTACCCAACACAAGGCCCTGAAAGACCCCTTTTTAATCCGCTCTTCCCTCCTTGATTGTAGCTTAATATTAGATAGGGTAGAGAGTGGGTTAAAGCCAAACTACTTAATTTCGGTCGGTAAATTAACTGCACAGTACACAGTATTGTATTTTTTAATATATAATTTATTACGTCGTTATGAGGTGAGGTTTAACCATTTATATTCAATTTTGAGCACCCTCGAAGTATTACATTTTTTAATATTTTAATATTTTAATATACGGCAACGCAATTATGTATGCAAAAAAAAAATCAAATATATCACTACAAAATCAAGCCTCCCCATTAATTGAATAAAGCAGGCCACAAGTATATATTGGGGTGTTCAAATGGTTACCATGGTTATTACCAAACCAAATAAGGCTAAATTTCATTAACCATGGAATGCAATATCATAACCAAACCGTCCAAACTAATACAACAAACAAATTAACCAAACTAAAGTTTAATCGGTTTGGTTAATTGGTTAACCAGATTAATCAATATAAAATCATGTTATCATCAAGTGAGAAAATTTTCGGTTAATTTTTCAATTCACAATTTATATAATGAATAAAACATAACAATCAACACATAGTTATAGTTGACCCTTAACATAAATACATGCAACTAAGACAATTATCTTACGATTAGTATAGAAGTAATCACCTAACAAAAATTTATCACAATGGTATGGATTAATGAATTGTTTTGTTTTTTTGAATTGACTTAGTCTTTTAGCAATTTTCATAGGCTGAAAAGGACCTTGCTTTCAAGTTTTCATCCAACATAATGTATGAGATTTATCTAAATTAGTCGGTCATATGTTGTGGTCTACACTCTACATATACAAATATACATTATAGGAACAATATCAAGCTTTATATTTTATGAGTCTAAAAGGATGAACGTTTAACTCTTGAGTGGTTATTCAAAGTATTAAGTATGTGTATATATTCGATATATAACTAATTATCTATCTGGTTAATTTGGTTTGGCTGGTTAGGAGTGTCTGAAACCAAACCAAACCACCTAAACCAAACAAGCTAAAAACTTTAACCAAACCAAACCAATTATCCAAATTAACCAAACCAAATTATCCAAATAGTACTGGTTAAAACGGTTACCATGGTAACCACATCGTTTGAACACCCCTAAGTATATGGTTCGCAATCCATACGTCTGGGATAGTAGGGTTTTCGTGTTGTCAAATCTTTGATTGAACTCTGCATATTTGAACGAGATAGGGGCGATATTCTCTCACCGGAATTAAATTATAACGTCTTGTCTAAGCTGTAATTAATTTTTATATCTCCGTTCTATAAAATTCCACTAAATAATATTACAAAAAATTTATTAGTCTGTCATCATTACTTCAACCCTTCAGTTTCCATCATTTTTTTAGCGCTTCCATATCTAAACTACCAGATCTCTTTCCATGCGTACCCTTTCACATTGATAAGTTTCTAACTCCTTTCCCTTCCTTCCTTTTCATCCGCTGTTTCCTTTGTTCCTTGTTCCCTACCTCAAGAATAAAAAATGGCTCACCTCCTCCCCTCTCCCACACTCGAAGTAGAATTTGTCAACAAGATTGTCAACGACCCCCACCAAACGAATCATGAACGGTTTCTGAGATTGTTTGCTGATCCTGCTCTGGACACCAAGTTCATTGTCGATCCAACAGAGTTCCGAGATTTCGATATCCCGGTTGTCCACTTCATCCTCAAGCTTGGATGGAGGTTTCTTCTCAACAGGCTCCCTCTGCAAACATGTCCTTCGGCAGTAAGGCATTTCTATGCAAACATGGAGCGCAATGGTGTTGCTTCCCGAGAGTTCCCCACTTTGGTGCATGGTTATAAGGTTCGGCTGACTGCTGCGCGCCTAGGTAAGATTTTTCAGATTCCCAATGGTGTCATTACCCTTGTTGAAGAACAAGAGATGCCTCTGCACAACTTCATCTCGATGAGAAGATGGATGATCTGTTTCGTTGTGCTGTCAATCCCAATGAAAGTATCCCCATCTCATCTCTCAAAAAGTTGCCTAGGGTCCTTCACTATTTTATCCCCATGTGTTTCTTCCTCGCATCCACTCGCTTGATGTCGTCACTCGGCTTGATCTGAACGCATGCTGGACTATTCCCACTGGCTTTTTGGATGCATGGTCCGAGCAAGTAGCCAGGAATACACTAGGTGTTTGCCATTCGATGGTTACATTTCCCTTTTGCTGGCCAACCTTCATATTCCTCTGAAAGGTTTTGTTTCAGAAGAAGAATCCGTCAGTGTACCTGGCGTGATCATCCTGAGGAAGTATGTTACCCCCCACGGGCCTATAACAACGACAAAAGAGGACATTCTCGTCGCGGCTCAGGATGTTGCTGATCAAGTAGACAGAGGTCGCAAAAGGCGCCATGGTGGGGAGGGGTTTGGCGGGCATCATTAGTGGAAGTGACCAAGGCTAAGTATTCGGTTGTTGTTTTTGTGTTTTATGCTTTGATTCTAGTACTTTAAATTTATTTTGTTCAAGCCTGTAAACTAATTGATTTATGAGTAATGATCATAACTGTCAAAATTCCTTCTTTTTCCTAAAACTTAGATCCCAAATATGCAAACTGATGCGACCCTGGGGGGTTGTCTGTGATCAAAGTAACGCAGCTAACGATTCAATCCGAAAGATAGATTGAACTTGAATCAAGAACGGAACGTTCTTAATACGAACTTGGATAAAGCAGAACCAAAAGGACAAATCCACACCTGGGGATAGCTTGATTGGGTTAAAGGGTAGTTGCTCGACCATGATTGAAGTGACAATTCAATCGATACACAAGCTCAGCAAGTTTGGAATCCACCAAACCCAAAACAAGTCGCAACTTGCACAAACCAAACGGTTTCGATTTCTATTCAACAAAGTCTAAGTTTACAACGTAAAAGAAAGCTTTTAAATAAACCTAAGCTAGGGTTACACACGTACGGAATAGTCCTAGATACCTTTTAATACGAATAGTCCTATGACTTCGTACTAACTTTGAGCCATTCGTTCAAAGCCTTCAAGATATCCATTCCTTCATCCAATGCCTTGCCTTTGTAGACAAACGTACCTACTTTCATGTGGTAGAAGCCTCTGGACTCGATTCAAATTCATGCTTCTCGAATTGAGCTCCAAAGTAGGCTTCATGAACACGTTTTCTGCATTAGCCAAATTCTGGCAGTTTTCAGCTTTCCAGATACACTTTTGAACAGCCTGGAAAATGACCTTCTGGACTTCCTCTCAAACTCCAAAGCATACCAATGGATAGATAAACATCTCATCTTCAAAGCAAACCATCAAACGCGAATTTGCACCGAGCCAGTTGAGATTTATTGCCTTCCAAAGTAGGCACCCTGAAACTGGCAAAACACTTGACCAGATTTTCACCCTTCTTTGGCCAATTGAGATATCTTCTTTGTCAAGCAACCGAGACTTGTAGATTCCGCGGGTTAATTGCAACGTGTGCCACTTAAGTTTACTATTTGTTGCAAGTTAAGCACCTTAGTGTATTTTGTTTCAACTAAACCATTTATGTTAATTTTTTGTTGCATAGTTACAATTTCCTTCCCCCAAACTAACGGTTGGTATCAAAATGCAATTTTCCATACCACGCGGACTGCCACATCAGCAGGTATAGTGTGAGTTACCTATGGGCCATCATCCAATAAATGGACTCTTTTTACTCTTCTTTTCCCCCAATCCTTCCCTCCAAATAACCTTCCAAATTCACAAACCAACGCTGAAATCTTCCTCTCTTCTCCAATCACTATTTAACTATTGTTGTTATCGTCTTTGCTATCGTTGTAATTGAACAGAAGAAGCAAGAGACTAATTCATGTCATAACTCAGCTCGAATATAAACATACTAATATTGTAATAATTCAGGTCCTCAGTCCATTATTAGGGGCCACATTTCCCCTCTACGGAATCATCAAGTTCTTGCTTTCCAATCGTTAAAGCTTGCGGCACCTTTGCTGCATTATATTAATGATTCCTACAACACCTTTACAATGCATTATATTGGGTAAATGACACATTTGGTCACTGAGATTACTAAATCGTGTCATATTTAGTCACTAGAAAATTTTAATATCAATTTTGGTCACTCGAATTACTGAAACAGATCACATTTGGTCACTCTTCTGTAGCCTCTGTCCAACTCCGGTCACTCGAATTATTGAAAAATGTCACATTTAGTCACTCGGATTACTGAAACATGTCACATTTAGTCACTCTCCCAAAAGTTTCCGTCCAACTACATTAATGGAGTTGGACGGAAACTGACGGGAGAGTGACTAAATTTGACCAGTTTCGGTAATTCGAGTGACCAAAATTGATATTAATTTTTTCTAGTGACTAAACATGACACAATTTAATAATCTCAGTGACCAAATGTGTCATTTATAACAACATATTTACAATGCATTATATTAATGGTTCCTCTAGCTCTTCGTTAGGCGCCAGTGTTCTGGTGATTGAATTATCTGTGCTTTGAGCATATCAGTTAAGATATAAAAGCAACTTGATCAGTTCATATATTAAAGGGCGACAAAGCATTTTCTGGTGCTTCATGATAAGTTCATGTATAAAAGCTACCCTGCTCCATCAAACGTCTAATCTCTCATTCAATCTCATTGGCGGCCACAACTTCGCCGGTAAGTTCATATATAAAAGCTACCCTGCTATCATTCTAAAAAAAATGCAGGTCCTTAACAAATTGTTAAACCGGTGTTCTGGCCTGCTAAAAATCTCAAAAAAATGCTGGTCCTTTTTCTGTTGCTTAAGCACACAAAGTGTTCTTGTCAAGTGCCTAACAAAATGAACTGGTGCTTAAGAAAAGATTTTTGATCCGGATGCTGCAGAAGGCATGTTTGGCGCCCTCTCTTCTTGTGCAAAGAAGGTTTGGTGCCCCTGCAACAGAAAAAGCATGAAAAATGCACTTGTTAACATCATCATTTTCAACAATACCCTATTTCATAACTTCACCCAAAGATATTGACTGCCTCAATCATCTAAATTAAACTGAATATTACCTGAACTTGGCTACTTTGCTGTGATGAAAAAGAAAGTGAGTTGAAAGTTTGGCTTGAAGGATTTATGGGCCGAGTCCGGCTACTTCCATATTGACAAACAATAGCAGGAGAGGAAAAATGCAGCAGACTTTTAATTGCAAAACTCACCATATTATGGAATTCGGTCAGTTTCCCCCAATCTTCCCTAATGCTTGGCGTCATTTTTTAAACTCAAACAATAACAATACACGTGCCTGAAGTAATAAAACCTACATATTCCACTCATTGATCTTCAAACAGCGAGAAGAAGAACTGATGGTCAAGGAAGGAAAATAACATACATGAGAAATAGAGGATCACTCAAAGAAAGGAGAATTCACTCACCTATTGCTCCATCAACCCATGAACAAGCCAGTTTCATAAGTTGTTTCAAATCACTGGAAATAACAAGTAAAGAATTAGAGGAAGAACGATTAATCCTCTTGCATGGGACTGAATTAGAGGAAGAAACAGAGTACTGCTGCAGCAGGGGTCTACTAGATCACTTATCGTATGCTTTTTTGCACCATATGTCAATCTTTCTTCATTCTTCGTGCGATCGTCTGGCCGAGTATTCCCCTTAGTGATTTTTATGTTCTTTTTTTTTTGACAAAAGTGATTTTTATGTTCTGTGAAGGGAAGGGTGTCAACGGTTCGGCTGCCGGTGTTGTTGTGTAGAGAAGTGTTGTTTTGTGGAGTTAACCACTGCGTATGAATTTCTTGGATTCTGTGGGTAATAAAGATTGTGGTGGTCCGCAGGTGACTCACCCTACAGTCGTTGATGTGGCAGTCTGCGTGGCATGAAAAATTGCATTTTGACACCTACCGTTAGTTTGGATGACGGAAATGGTAACTATGCAACCGGAAGTTAATATAAATGGTTTAGTTGAAACAAAATGCACTTAGGTGGTTAATGTGCAACAAATAATAAACTTAAGTGGCGCAATTAACCCTAGATTCCGCCATTTTTGGATTGTATCACAAACCCAACCATATTCACTAAAACCCAACCAATTTCAAATTCACAAAATATTATTTTCCCAATTCTTCTAGTTCGAAATCCCTAGTCACTAATATCGGTTCAGGATAAACTCACCCAGATCTAGACTATCTTAGGATCTGCAAAAACAGAGCATAAAGGTATCATAATCTCGTTTTCGAAACAAAATAAAAGTCTGATCTAGAGTAATCAAAGAAAACACGCAAAGTGAAACATTACCCAGAATTAGTCATCGCCGGCGAAGACACCTTCCATAGTCGGAGGCGACTTCCTTTCTTTTCTTTCCTTGTCGAAATCACCCTCCATCGCGGCGACCCCTTATGCTTCCCCACCTCGCACAAAACTAAACCCAGGAAAAAGTATTAGAAACCCATCCCTCTAAAACAAAAAAATCAAACAAAACCCGCATGCAAATGAAATTCTTACCCAGATCTCGTCGGTTTTTTGGTCTGGGTGCCGATCGGCGTCGTCGACGAGATAAACCCCCATTTCCGGTGATCCCGTTCAGCCCCTTTCCTTCCTGCCTTAACCGAAGCAAACCGCAGACCTCCTCAAATCAAACATACCAAACATAAGAAAATTAGTAGAATCCAAAACGAAAAAAAAAGATGAGAAGCCATGCATGTCGATTTACCTTCATCTTAAGAGGAAGCTTCCGATTTAGGGTCATAGCGACCGGATTCGTAGATCGGTGACGTGAGGAAAGAGCGTCGGTGATGACAACCGAGAGAGGAGAAGCATATCGGAAGAGGGCAGGGGCCCTTGACTAGTTTTGGTTGTTTTCTCGGTAGACAAAGTTAGAGGGGCTTCGATTTTGATTAGGGATTTTTGTTTGGCACGCGAGTTTGAAGAGACGAGGGAGAAGAAGGAGACGACCAACACCCCTCTTTAGGCGGCTAGGGTTTCGATTTTGTTTTTCTCTGGAAGAGAAAAGGAGAAGGATCGAGAGAGGGAGAGAGGATCGACAAAAGAGAGAAGAGAGAGCGGCGGCCAGTTTTGGATGATGGGTTAGTTTGATTAGGGTTTTATTTTAAAGACTAATATACCCCTCGGGTCTCATAGACGATGTCGCCCCTAGGGATTCTTGAAAATTACGTGGCCTTGGCACTGCTTTTCGGGTCAATTACGAAACCACCCTTCTCTTTATCTTTGTCTGAAAATCGAAAACCACAAAAAGAAAGATCCCACGAAGTTTCGAACTCGGGCCATCTTGCACATGTGCGCTAGCATGGTTGTCACGCCGGCCGGCGTGCCACCGGTTGTACCAGGTTCAACCGGTACCAGTCTTAAAATCGGCGTGACACCACCGGTATGACCGGCATAATCAGTATACGAATCTCTAAGTAAAATGACCTTATTTTAGAGAATTTAATTGATAAAAATTATTTTATTATTTATTTTATGAGTATAAAAGTTAAATATTGATATTATTTGTTGGATTCAATTATAAATGTTTAGGTATTGACGTTAAATGTCATGTTTAAATATGAGTGTTTATAATTTTATTTGTAATATTGACCGGCATGAACCGGCACAAACCGATATGTGCCACCGGTTGAACCATTCCACTTGCTAAACCGGCACACTGGCATAAACCGGTTTAACAACCTTGCCGCTTCGTATGCGACGGTCGAGCCAGTTCGGATACCCGATCCTTGTGTGTAAGTTTAACAACTCCGTAGATTTTTATTCATTAATATCCTTAACATGAAATTATAAAAACGTCGAGTCTCCAAGTTAGGTTAATTACATTTTATATAATACGTCAAACCCCTTCCCAATAACTAAATTTCTTGGATTTATTGTCATAACATCATAATAATCTAAATGAAGTTTTATTAATAAAATTATAATACGAGAATTATGTTCAGTGGAACGTGGTAAAAGTTATAATTAAAAAGATCAAAGTTCCTAACGAACTACGTGGACTTGGATCCCGTATTACGGGTACGTAGGCAACCGATAAGGTTAGAGTCCAACTAATCAACTAACTTTATCTTTAAATTTTACGTCACTGAGCGTATAATTAAATCTTAAACTAATACGATAAAATTATTTAATGGTCTAGTGTGACCCTAAAATTACCAAAAATACACCCAACTCATATAAAACTTATCAACTTAAGTAGTACCGATTTAGGGCATTGTAGGGTGTGATTTCATTTCCCCTCACGTAACCGTACTCCCGAACCTAGATTTCTAATCCGCAGACCAAGCCTCGGTTCTGACCCTAAGGTTAGAGCTTACCGATGAGTGTTCGATCCACTCCACGTAAGATCGATGGCGACTCCCAAAAAGCAAACATGACCCTGACGACCCTGAAGGGACAGTTGCAACAACTGAATGACGTCGGGGAGAGTTGGGAAAGCTTCGTCTTCCATCTCGAGAGGCTGGCGGCGGGGGAGGGGCACGGGGAGAGTGGCTGGCAGCAGGGAGAGGCAGGGAGAGCTAGGAGGTTGCAGATTGCTGGTGGGGATTGGAGGCGGGGGTGAGAGGCAGCGGGGGACGGGCGATGGGGGAAGGCTAGCAGCGATTGGAGGCGGCGGGTAGTAGACGAAAGGGAAAGCGAAAGGGTTAGGTAGGTAGGTTTTAGGGTTTATGTCAAATTGAGGGTATAATTGTCTGTTTGGGTAGTTTAGGGCGTTCAATTTCAAAATTTTAAGGCGTCAAATAGCCATTCAGCAAGAAGAGGTGGGGAACTACGCTGAAGGTGTTAGGTGGTATTAATGGTGAAAAATATAAGAGATGATGAGAAGAGAGGAGAGGAATCAGAAGAGAGGAGCAGAAAGTGGCGACGCGTTTCCACCGTGAGAAAAACTCGTGAAACGCATCGCTCCCATGCATGCTCAAATGGCGAGGAGGAAAGACACGCGCCACCCAAATCGTTGATCGAAGGAAGACAAGCCCAGGACAGAGGCCCAGCCCATCAGAATTAGGTGAACAGGAAAATTAGGTCTAAATGAATAGTGGATTGTGTATTGGTGTACAGGGATAGGTTGTCTGTGGGATTAAATTATCTTAGTGTGTGTGAGATTAGTCAGTGGTATTGGCTTGATCGGTTTATGTCACTTTATGTGTATTTAATATAAAATAAAATAGAAAAAGATAATCGTGGACCCTAAGTAAATTTTTTATTGAATGGAGATAACCTCATCACTTGGGGTCACTCCAGGCATCTGGGGGTCAATCCTCCCTAGTCATCTTGGGGTCACTATGGCCACCAGGGGATCAATCACCCCAGTTCACCTCGATCACTCTGGGGTCATTCCGGTCACCCTGTAATCAATTACCTCGGTTCACCTTCGAGTCATTTCAGCCACCCCAGAGTCAATCACCTCGGGTCACCTTGGGGCATTCTAGCCGCCCGGGGGTCAATCTTCTCAGGTCACCTAAGCCACCCCGGGACCAATCTCCTCGGGTCACCTTGGGGTCATCCCGGCCATCCAGTGGTCACTCGGCCACTGTTGATTCAATCATCTCGGGTCACCTCGGCGACCCCAGGGTCAATCACCCCAGGTCACCTTGGGGTCATTCCGGTCATCCTGGGGTCAATCACCTCTTGAAAGAGAGATGTGTCTTCGGGAATGCGGAGACAGGTGGTGCATGGCTATTGTCACATGTGTCGTAAGGTGTTGGGTTAAGTCTCGCAACGAGTGCAACCCTCGTGTTTAGTTGCCTCCTTAGCAGATCGCTCACTATCAACCACTTAATCCTTCTCATACATCTTCTCCTCCTTGATAACCGGACTAACAACTTCAGGTTGCACAATACAACAGTCCGGAGTAACTAAGAGGCTTTTGAAAGGTACTTCAAAAGTATCACATTAACGAATGAAAATGAAAACGAGTCAAGTTCACCCGAAGGGAAATCTTCAAAATCGAAATAGCTAATTATTAAATAAAAGATATTTGAATGAAACCAATATGGTAATGAGGGGTTTTGCGTCTATATGTGTAGTATTGTGGTTGGACCGTGATCGTGCTCCGGTGCGCGATCGAGCTTTAAATTTATAAAGTCGAAGCACACTCTTTAATCAATCCTAACTAAGCAAGTATAACCAAGCTAGGGTTGTAGTAAAGTGGCTTTGTTGTATTCCAAGGGATCCCTAAGTGTACTATTAATTTGCTCCGAACTACTATCTAATTGAGATAGGAGTTTGGTGAGGGGTTTTAACTAAATTAACCTACTCCTAAGGCAAAATAAACAACCAACCAAGTGGTTGGGATTACGCTAGAGATGAGATGGTTGCCTAGAGTAGAATCCTCCTAGCTAAGGTTGTAAAGTAGGGTTAATAGAATGGGGTGAGTGAGCTCTTTTCCATGGACTTTTGTGGTTATCCACACGCCTTCGAGTACACCTCCCCTAAATCCATGTTCCAGTCAACTAGATCTAGGCTATCATATCTGGTGCATTGAGCTTATGGCTCATTTCAATAGACACTATCCACCATCCACACCGAGGTTTCATCCCGGGTTTCATCTAGGAAGGCTACCTATAGCAGGGGTTCGATCGTCTCGACCACTATAGGCCACATTCACACATCTAACCTAAAATCGCCAGATGGTGCATACCCATCTAACGCTAGAACTCCATGCCCAACACGGTAGCATAAAGTAGGCTAAGAGGGGATATTAGGGTGACTTACCCAAGCATCATCATTTAGGAAAGAGTGGCATTAAAATCAACTAGACAAACACAGTCATTCATTCAAAACCCAAACATTAACAACCTATAACTAGGGTTCATCTACCCTAAACAACTACTAGAGATTCAATTTATTAGAGAGAAGAAGAAAATACAAACTAGAAGAGGGGAATGATGGAATTAAGCTTCTTCTCCTTGATCCTTGGGTGAAATAGATCTTCAATGAAGCTCTCCCAAGGTGTTTCTCTCTCTAAAGCACTCCAAAACCCTAATTTTATCACCCCAAGGTGACTCTCCCTTTTCACTCCAGTACCTCTTCTATTTATAGGTGCTAGAAATCTCGGGCAAGTTCGCGGTCTGATGGCAAGAGATCGCGGCCGCGAACTTCACTGTCACAGGCACGATCTGTTTCCTCAGTCAGCATCAGCGCTGCCCGCGAAGGGACCGAGGAAACTCTCTGTACTCCCTGCACGACAGTGCCTCCTTCCAAAGCTCGCGGCCAGTGTGCTCATCTTCGCGGTCGTGATCTTCTGGCTTTGGCCCGCGATCTTCTGGAAGACTTCGCGGTCGGGAACTTGAGCCCTTTCAGCTGCGATCTTTGCCTTATCTGGTCCTTCTCCCTGTTTCTACACAGTTTTGCTCATTTTCTCCTCGTCTTTGCTCGTAATGTTGAATGCATCCCAAAATAGTATATAAATAAAAGAGGAACGAAAAGGGCATGCAAATGACCTTTTGTAAAACAATTAAAGATCATTTTAACACAAAACTGCCTAATAAGTGCAAGGCAAATAACACCATTTTGGTGTTATCAAACTCCCACACACTTAGGTGTTTGTTTGTCCCCAAGCTAACCTTCTCAAATCGAAAGATTAATTAATGGGAAATGCACTCTAGTCTTCATTGCATAAAGAAGAGTAAATGGGTTTGAATGAATGTTACTATATTGCCTTACTGTGCAAGTACGTACTCTCGGGCGAGGACCATACTTACTACCCTAGGCCAAACATTCAAGGTGTGCTTAGGGGGATTCTCAGACACTAATAACTACTAGAACTATTGAATGTGCTTTTATTCTTTCTTTTGTTGTAGGAGTTGTCGTTGTTTTAGTCTCCTTTTTCCTCGTTCATGCAGATTAAACCGAACTTTTGCAAACTTCTTTGCATAATAGCATTCTCCCTCATGACCAAGAACATATGAATCATAGCCGTCCCTTTCAAGGTCACATGTGGGGAAGTTGATGGTCGGATTCGTCTTAGCCCGAGCACCACGTCCCAGCCTGTACTCCATATTGGTTTTCCACACATGTCGGGTACAAACGAGAGCTATGAGATCTCTTGAATCGCTAAAAGGTACCTTT